CACTCCCTCAACGACATCATCCTCTCGGCAGGGGCCATCGGGAGCCCACAGCTGCTCATGCTCAGCGGGGTGGGCCCCCGCGTACACCTCATGAAACATGGCATTAAACCATTGGTCGACCAGCCGATGGTGGGGAAGGGAATGGGAGATAACCCCATGAACGCACTCTTCGTACCATCTCCTTCTCCAGTTGAAGTGTCGCTCATACAGGTTGTCGGTATTACAAAGTTTGATAGTTACATTGAAGCAGCAAGTGGCTTGAGCTTCTCCTATGGCTGGACTCGGAAATTCTTTGAAGGAGTCCTGAATTTTCTCAACGAGGTAGTGTTTATAACTCTTGGAAACCCTAAAAGACGAGGTATTAAGTCACAAGAAATCATATGAAAACGCATAAATCGTATATATATATATGACATTTAACACATTTTGCAGACCAATCTTAGTCCAACAACATTTTCAACACAGTCCATAGAAGACATGCTCCGATCCATGGATCCTCTATTGAACGCGACAACAAGGGCAGGTGTGATCTTGCAGAAAGTGTCGGGACCAATGTCAAGAGGGCATTTGGAGCTTCGGAACACGAACCCTTACGACAACCCTTCCGTCAGATTCAACTACTTCCAAGAACCGGAGGATCTGAGGAAGTGTGTTCAAGGGCTTAGCACGATCATCAAAGTGATCAATACAAAGGCATTCTCCAAGTTTCGGTATCTGGACATGTCTGTTCCTAGGCTGTTGAATCTGATGTTGAGTGTCCCGACCAATCTGAGGCCGAGGCATATGACTGCTACGTTCAATCTCGAACAGTTTTGTACCGATACCGTGATGACGATTTGGCATTACCATGGAGGCTGCCAGGTTGGGAGAGTTGTCGACAAGAATTACAGGGTTTTCGGTGTTGATGCTTTACGGGTCATCGATGGATCCACGTTTCTCAAGTCTCCGGGGACTAATCCTCAAGCCACAGTCATGATGCTCGGAAGGTAACCCGAGGAGAAACAACGTTTATGAATGAAAAAAAAATATTTTCCCGATATTATGTTGAAATATATCCAAGAATTATAAAGGGGTTAATTCGAGTTCTTGTGCAGGTACATGGGACAGATGATTCTCCGAGAGAAGGCGGCTTACGCCAAGAGGAAGAGCCATAAGAAGCAAGAATGATATATATATATATAAAATCCTTTTCGGTTCGATGATTGGAACTGCATAGCGGTTCATATTGATGTATGATAACGGTGGAAAAGATCGAATTTTATCAGAAAGGGAAAGAATATGTAATGTAACTTGCATATATATATATATATATGCTGCTATTTTAAAGTTCTTGCTCCCCTTTTTTTCATTTATATTATCTAATGTCGCAAATTCGAGTATATTCAGAGACTAATCCCTAAGCATATTTGGTTGGTCCATCGGGCCATACAAACAAGCCTAGAGAGCTAGAAACTAGGGAGGCTTCGATTCAGGACTAAAGTCCCAAACTGTACCGAACCCGATTCACTAGAGTTCGGTTCGGTATTTTATAAGAAAGCTGAACGGTACAAGATTTACAATATCGAACGGTTTAGGAAATACCGAACGGTATTTTAGTATTTTTATTTTTTAATTAAAATATTAAATATAAATAATTAATAATAATATTTAGTTTGTTTAATGTTATATATTACCTAATGATGTTTATTTTGTTATTAATAAATACTTAGTAACAATATTTATTTTGGTGTCCAAAATTATTATATTAGATTTTTTTTATGTTTATATGAGATATAACTATGTTATAAACCGTTTTAAACATCCTAAACCATTTTGAACTATTTCAAACTGTTCCGAACCATCGCGAACCGTCTCTATTTGATTCTTATTTGGTATTTATTTATTAGAATCGTACCGTCTCAAACGGATACCAATACCGAATCGAATTGATCCGAATAATATATGATAGGGGTGGACATAATATCCGAAAAAACTGATCCGATCCGTTATTCGATTCATATCCGAACCGAAAATTCGGATATTCGGAGTTCACGGATCGGATACGGATATTAGTTTCAAAATATTTGTCGGATACGGATCGGAT